ACAGAGGGCAGTAGTGTAGGACCCCTATTCTTTGCTGTTGTCATGGTGATGGTCTCTGCTGTCCTCTGTGCAGCCAGATCCTCCCTCAGTGACAGCTGCAAAGGCTGTGCGGTTTGCACGGTCTGGTCTGACTGCAAAGGGAAGAGCAGAAACCCTCAGTGCCCCATCTAGGAAAAGAGCTCAGCCTCAGGGTACAGGGGCTGCACATGCAGCTGGATTTATAGAGATTGATTTATGGCTTTATGAGGAAGGAAGAATGACGAATGGGACATAAGTCACACACATGCATGCAGATGTGAATGAAGTGTCTGCATGGATCAAGGCAGAGATGAAGGAACATGGTGTGGGGGGTTGAGATGCAGGATTCCTGGGTTGTTGGGGCCCTATGTGAGCCCCACACTCCTGGGTGGAGAGCTCAGGAAGTGCAAGTCCCCTACGAGAAAAAGAGGAATGAGGTCTTTGGATGGTCCCTGCCGACTTTGAGAGGGAGACATGCACAATGCAGCTTGTGTTTATGAGTGAATAGGATGCAGGATTGTCAAAAGCAAAATCATCAGTTTCAGAAACAGAAGTTCTTGATCTCACCGACCACAAAAAAAAAAAGGAAAGGAACTTGCCTTTGGCTGGCTGGGGGAGTGGAGGAGAGGACAGGATGTTTGCTACTCTGAAAGGGGGGAGTGGATTGTCTGTGCATGTCTACGTTCATCCTACAAGCCTTAGCCACAGATCACATGCACACAAACGAGAATCTGCTCTTTATAGCCAGCATCTGGCTCCTACCCCATCCACAGTGATGTTCCAAGCTTCCATGTGCCCTGGTGCACAAAGCATGCATCCATCACCACCTGGCACAGACTGCAGTAGACTAATGGTTATCTGACTCCCAGAGTGGGGGCACTGGATGAAACTCAATTGTCTAGACGCAGTGACGATGTCATAAGCATGGCCCCCACCTATGATGTAATGACTTCTTTCCTCTTGCACTGCTTTTGATGAAACCACGGGAAGCTTTATTCAGATATACCGGAGTGACCACAGACAGGGATCAGACCCAAAGCATGGTGGGGATTAAATTCGAAAGCCTCAGGAAGAGGAGGTGAACCCAAGGGCTGGGACAAGGACTGGACCCCTACTAAGACAGATCATGTGGGTGTGAGTGACGCATCTGGGGTTCTGAGGAACGCAGGTCCTCACAGGGGACAGAAGCAATCAGATTTGCGTTTGTGCGACATCACTGTGTCCTTCTGCTGAGAAGAGAGTGACAGGAGAGTGAGACAGAGGCAGGGGACCAATGAGGAGCTGCTGGAACAAAACCACCCAGCAGATGGAAGTGGGAAGGCTACTTTCCCCCTAGGACAGGTGGGGTGGCTCCCTCCCTCCCACTCCATCTCTCTGTCTCTGGGCCCCCTGCGCCTCCAGTGATGGCAGAGCAGTGTGCTCCAAACTGTGTCATGATGTTTGTGCAGGTGGTATAACCCATGAATTTGTGCTTGTGGATATTTTTAAGTGGAAACAGGCTAGATTAGAAAATAGAACATTGTGCATGGCAGAGAATCTTCTTAATTGTGAAACTGACCTTTCCTGCGGATCATGTGTGAGCCACTGGTGGTATAACCCCACCTCTCCTGGTGTCGCAGTGAGTCATGGGGTTGTTGTCAACTCTGGAAGAGAAAGGCTGTGGGCAGGCTCTCCTCCCCTTTAACTACCAAGGACTTCTCTGTCTCATCTCATCTCCCTCACAATGGTTCATTGCTCACAGTCTCGGTCTCTGGTGCTTCCTGGCTGCCACTGCACAGGGCCTGGTAAAACTTGATCTGGACACCAGCTGGTTATCCTGTGACTTTAAAATGCATGCAACCTGTTCAATGGCAGAACACGACATTCAGGGAAGTTGAATTTGCGTTTCCACACCATGGTTACTCATAGTTAGAAGAAACTATTTCCTTATTGCTTTTAAAGCAGAATCATTATTTTACATCAACATATCAGGTCAACTTTTTGGCTTCCACTAATGGGTGAGGACATGTAGCGTTTGTCCTCCTGTCTAACTCTGTTCTTTTTCTTCAGCATGGCGACACTTAGCAGTCTCCTAACAGCAAGTTCCATTAACTTGAGGGACTCAGGATTGTGTTTCACACACCCATTGGAAAGGACTCATCTGTACCAATTTTGAAATAAATTTGAAAGGGAGAAGAAGAAAATCATCCCTATATACATGGAAATGTCACAAGGAAACTCCCTGTGTAGCTAGCTTAAACAAACAAAAATGTTATTTTTTTTCTTTTACAAAATCAGAGAACAGGAGATCAAAACAGATCCTTCCTGTGGGGGGGGGTTGGTATCAGTGGGAGGGGGGAAGAGGAGGGGAAAGGGTGTGGGAGGGTGAATATGGAGCAAATACTGTGTACACATGTATGTAAAGGGAAAAACAATACCTGCAGAAACTATTTCAGGAGTGGCAGGAGGAGGAGATAAAGGAGAACGATGCAGGAGGTGAATTCAAATATGATATATTTGATATATTATAAGAACTTTTGTAAATGCCACAATGTACCCCCACCAGCACAACAATAAAAAATAAAATAAATAAGATCCCTGACATCAGGAGCTGACCTGGCACTTGATCAAGGACTTGGTGTTGTACTATGAATGAGACACACTTCAACGGGTAAACCCAAAAACCAAGTCCCTCAATACTCATTTCTGAATGCAGACAAAAATGTGAACACTGTCCAAAGCATCACAAAGACCAAACATCCCCCTATCCTGGCTAAGATGCAATAGCCACTTCCTTAAAAGCCACAGTTTTCACTACATTTTAGCTCCCCTCATTACAGATAGCAGCTGTTAAGGCACTGTGTCAGTCAGTTTGAGCTGTCAGAACAAAATACACCACCCAGGAGACTTATAAAACAAACATTTCTTTTCTGACATTTCTGGAGAAAGCTGGGATGCCCAAGGTGCTCACCACCCTGGTGAGGAATTTCTGCCCTGCTTGCAGACAGCCCCACCTTCTGGTGCGTGGTCACGTGACTTGTTTTGTTTTGTTGCATTGAACAGGGTCTCACTATGTAACCCAGGCTCAAATGAGTTGAGGTGTCCACGGAGGTTGAATGGGGTGACCGTCCACACTGCTTTCGTGTGGACATGATTCAACCCCCCGGGTTCATACACTGGAGGCTTGGTCTCCACTGCAAGGGGACAGAGGGTTGTGGAATCTTTCAGAGGTAGAGTCCACTGGGAGGTGACTAATGGCTGAGGGAAAGGATTAATGTCTGTCTTCAGAGGTGGGTTACATCTCAGGGCATCAGCGTGCATTGTCAAAGTGCGTTGTTATAAAATTCGTTCAGCTCTGTTGACTTGCTCTCTTGCAATGTGACTTCTGTCTTCTACACACATCACTTGCCACTCTTGCACATATCCTCCTCCCATGATGATGCATATATGTCACATGATCCCATGTGTCATACGATCCCAGGATTCAGCGTATGTCACAGCCAGATGGGCCTCAGCAGTGGCCAAACAGATAGCTCCTGCAGCCTTCAAAACTGTGAGTTAAGCCCTGTATAGCTATCCTTATCTCAACCAGCAAAAACCCTTAGTCCTTCCTGTTATTGCTTATACTCTCTCTACAACAAAATTAGAAATAAGGGCAAAATAGTTTCTGCTGGGTATTGAGGGGATGGGGGGAGAGGGAAGGGGCGGAGTGGGTGGTAAGGGAGGAGGTGGGGGCAGGGGGGAGAAATGACCCAAGCCTTGTATGCACATATGAATAATAAAACAATAAAAAAAAAACTGTGAGTTAAGTAAACCTTTTTTCTTTATAAATTACCCCGTCTCATATTTTGTTATAGCACTAGAGGACTAAGACAAGTTTCAAGCACCAGAAAATGGGAAGGCTCCAGGTTACTTCCCTTTTTAAAGCAGATATTTATTCTCTGGGGGATCCTGAATTGAGGATGTAAATGATTCTCCGACTAAACCACTCTCAGATATTAAACCCAGTATCAGCTTGCCCAGAAGACAGAACTATGTTTTTGAATATGTCACCAGCAAAGTAGGAATTCCAGAAAAGGAAAATAAATTCTGATACAAGAATTCTGTGCCTTAAAAAAAAAAAAAAAAACAACTAGAAATAAGCCAGTGAAATTTCAACAAACACATGCTTCTGTTTTCAATTTACAGGAAATTTAAGGGCACAAGAAGTAATATTTATACTTGTCTCAATTTTTCATTGCTATCACAAAATGCCCGTGACTGGGAATTTTATAAAGAAAGATATTTGTTATGGCTCATGATCCTGGAGGCTGAAAAACCCAAAATCACAGAGCAGCATCACGGGGGGCCCGTACTAGTTCATGAAGAGTTAAAGGCACTTGAAAAGGAGAGAATACAAGAGCAGCCTTGCTTCATAACAGCTCACTGCTGAGGTGACTGGTCCAGTGAGAGTGAGACCTTGCTCAGCCCTGCCAGGCAGCATTAATGCACTCTGGAAGGCTCTGCCCCCATGGCCTCAACACCTCCCACAGGCTCTGTTCCCAACCTTCTCAGTCTTTGGGACTCACTCCATCACTGAGAAATTAAGCTTCCAACCCATGGCTATTTAGAGGACACGCTCAAACCGTAGCAATAGTTTTGTTTTGTTTTGTTTTGTTTTGTTTTGTTAAACAAAATCAGCATGCAATAAAATATATTTTGTGGTTACTTGGGACCCTTCTCTCCAGGGTGGTCTAGATGAAGTGGGTTCTCTGCCTGGGGTCTGGGTGTGTGGTGTTCCTGAAGAAAGAGAAAGACAGAGAGGGAGAAGGGGACAAACAGAGAGAGAGAGAAGAGGAGGAGTGAGAGACATGAGAAGGAGAGTCTCCTGGTTACCCAGAGAAGGGAAGGTGAGGACTCAGCAGAGACTGAACATCTGGGCGGTGGGCACAGAAGCCAATCTCTGCCCCTGCCTCCTGTCCCCGACCTGGACTGGAATTGGACTGTGGAGGATGGGAGGACACTCAGTGGGGCTTCATGCCTTGGACCTTTAACCTCACCACTGTCTGATTCTGGGAAATCCCCAATTCCAGGCAGCAGTGCTGGAAGCGGGGCCAGAAGACACTGTGGAGGCCACAGGGCCAAGTCCCACAGAGGGGCAGGATGGTGTCATTGTCACAGCACTGCTCCAAGGGGTTGTAGATCTGGTCTCCACACCTAGGCACCGAATGGCACAGCAGTGGCCAGTATTTGGGAAGAATCAGAGCTGGGTGGGCTCCAAAGACTCCCCCGCCCCACAGAGCTACCTCCTCCTTCCTCACTGAACCTGTTCTCACCTGTGGTTCCTTCTGAGTCTGAGCCTAGAAGGGCAAAAATGGAGATGGCAGCTGAGAGGCACAGGGGTGAGAAGGACACAGAGGAAGCACAGTCTGATCACAGTCATGGGAGACAGGATGGTATCACTGAGCTTTTATTGCTGCTAATGGCCCAGAGTGGATTTTGAGACTAAGTCTGGGGACAAGACCTGGGGTCTGGGCTGGCAGGTGAGGAAAAGCAGGAGGGCTCTGGGAAGAGGAAAGCTTCTGGAATTTACAGGTGGGGCGGGATGACAATGCAGGCAGAGGTGAGGGGGAGGTGGTTTTGAGGAGGGAAGCTTGAACTGTAGAGGAGAGAGTCAAGTTCAAGATTCAGATGGACAGCAGGGATGCAGTAACACTTGGGGTCACCTTGGGGCTGGGCTCTCCTTACCTGTGACTCCAGGCACCATGGTTCTGATCAGGCTGCAGAAAAGTGGGGGGCAGAGCAGCAGCAGAATTGGATCTGGGACCTTGAGGTGTGGCTTATACAGTGATTAATACCAGCCCTGGGGAGGAACCTCCATCTTTCAACAGAGGCAGCAGCATGGTGGAAAGTCAGGTATATCCAGGAAAAAGTGAACGTCAGTTTGTTCTAAAACATGTTCCTGACTCTTGAAACATGAAGATAAATGCTTCTCCAGAGGCTTTCAACTTGTGCCTCTGATGGGTCCATTTTTTTTGACACCCCACTAAGGGGAATCTCAGAAAAGATTGCTTAATCTTCCCCACTACGTGCTGTTAGACTGAAAAGCATGGCGAGATAGACCAGGAGATGGCTCAAGGTCAGCACAGGCTTTAAGCAGAAAAGAGAGTCTGCAGAGGTGGATCACTAGCAGAAGTCAGAGCCCACTACCACCTGCAGCCTGGGGTAGATAAAGGGCAAGCTAGTGAAAAAGTACCAGGAAGGTGGTTGGGCGGGATAACCTTCTGGTGGATTGATAAGGAATGTCGTTGTTGGGTGACCAAGGAAGATAAGTTGTGTTTAGGTCACTGGTCTGCTCCATCATCCTTGGTGCCCAGAGATAACAGGCACCAAGGATGATGGTCATTCTTTGAGGTTCAGTGGGGAGTTTCCATTAAGCCACCAGCAAGAGGGAAGGGGTTCTGTTCCTAACATGACTGTGCTTACTGTTCACCCTACAACACAAAACCACCCAAGGACACCAGCTGCTTCTTCACCCAGAAAATTTCAAGTTCTCTCTCTCTCCCCTCAGCTCAGCCCACTTCCTGAACTTCTATATTTATAATTCATCAAAGTTATATGGGGGAAATTATAAACTTGTCACATGAGCTTTTAGAAGAGCAGGGGCAGCAGAAACTGTGTTAGGAAACAAGCAAGAGGAGTAGCCACACTACAGACCTCTGGACTCAGACAGAAAGGAAGGAGGACCTGTGTCTGTTCGTTTGTAGGGTTCCTTGTCCAAAGAAATGCTACATGCATGCCTTTACCATTATATTAGTTTCTGAAATGGGAAACCACGAGGACTATTATTAGAACTTCCTGGCTTTTTGGCGTGGAGGGGAGGGTTGGTTTTTTGGTTTTATTTTTGTTTTGTTTTGTTTTTTTCAGTACCAGGACTTGAACTCAGGGCCTACACCTGAGCCACTCCACCAGCCCTTTTTTATGTTTTCAAGACAGGGTCTCACTAACTCTGATCCTTCTGATCTCTGTCCCCTGAGTAGCTAGGATTACAGGCATGGGCCACCAAAGCCCTGTGAGCATCCTGTTTTCCGCTGGCTTCCTCTCTGGGTCACAGTGACAGTTTGGCAGTGTGACCGATGGAGAAGCAGAAGCATTAGCACTAGGAGGAAGTGTACTGTTAGTGGGAGGCCTCTCCTCTTCCCTCCTCTCTCAGATGGGACATGCAATACTTCAGCATGGGTGATCTGACAAAAGGATGTAAGCTGGGCCATCTTTCAGCCTACAGATGTGCCTGTGGGGTGTCTGTGTGCCAGCAACTCACTATGCCTTCTCCTGGCACCTGCCCCCTAGCAGGAGCTCACCTGTGAGGATCCCCCATCTACACAGATCTACTGGGAAAACAGACTTATAAGAAGTACACTCCTGTGTCCTGAATTCATTCCTGTGATTGGAGCATCAATAATAACTGAGCCAGCCATCAGAGGTCATGAGCACATAAAGAGAAATGCCCAGGTGAACAGAACTGTGAAGGGAAATGGGAAGTGTCAACAGAGGAAGAATTAACGTCTGTGTAATTAAAGTGTCTGTGTAGAAAGTGCCACAGAGCCCACTGTCAACACAGGCAAGGCTGACAGCTTCTGCCATTTAAAGAAAACCAGCAAGCTCTTTGTAGAGTCACCCAGCTTATTCACACAGCAGTCAAGACAAGCAACAGGTACCAGTGCTTGCACAGTGACATTGACACAAAGGGGTCTTGTCACTGCATCAAAAACTTTAAGACACAGTTGCTGCATCAAGAATGCCACACAACAGCTATAGAGGGTGTGTATTTGGAAAGTGGATGGCCATATAGAATACTAGAACATAATACAGACCAGAAATAGACCCACCCCGTGTGGTCATTTGAGTTTTGGCAGGGGTACAAAGGTCAGTCAGTGAGGGCAGCAGTCTTGAGAATGAAGACATGGAGGAAGCATTCATTGGTGTTCTGTGCCAGGAAAACAAGGAATCTGTAACTAGACCTGGCAGTTTACAGAAAATTCAAATCCTAATGGACCCAAGTATAAAGTATAAAACTATAAATGTATAGAAAAATATCAGAGACTGTTTATAGTTGTGGCCTGGAGACGTGACACGTGAGGCACAGAGAGTTAGAGCAAACACTGACACATGGAACTTTCTTAAGCTTAACACTCTCTGGAGAAAATATTTGCTCATCTCTTATCTGACATAGGGCTTGTATCCCCAGCATACACATCCAGTGTGCATGGGAGGTATATATCCAGTGTGTACAAGCTCGTGCATGTCCTCACGGCTAAACAGAAGGAAAGGGACACCAGAGTGCAATGCAAGAGCAGCTCTTTCCAAGAGGTCATGCAGGTAGCAACGTGCACCTGACAGGCATTCAACCTCAGAGCATCGGGGACTGAACACCAGGACCATGGAGAACAGCCACCACACGTCTGCTAGCACGGGTAAATTTTTAAAATACTGGTGGAAATTTAAAAAATGGTAAAGCATCAGGAAACACTTGGCACTTTCTTATAAAATTAGACTCAAAACACAAAGGTTCATTTGCACCATGACCCACACTTACCTCCTGGGCTTTTATCCCAGAAGAGAAAAACTATGTTCTCATTTTTAAAAAAGTACATGAATGTTCCCAGCGGTTTCACAACACTAAAAACAACTCGAATGCCACCGACAGGTGAACTGGTAACAGGCCATGCTCTGTGCCTATGATTGATCCACATGGATTCAATTCACCAATAACAGAAAAATTGACAGACGTCAGGATCTCAATGGGTGTTCAAGTGGTGAAAGAATCCAGTTGAAAAAGGCGACAGTGGTGTGATTTCATTTCTATGACATCCTTAAAGGGCCAGGCTGCAAAGGGACTGTGTTTCCACAGGGTGGGTACAGGGGATGGGGACAGTTGTGAGCACAGGAGTGACATTATGGCGAGTTTGGGGGAAGCAGCTGTTCTGAGCTGACCATCTGTTCAGAGGCTGAGCAATAACAGCAGTTTCATAAATGGGGACATTGGTCTTGCCATTGGCAGCCCATCCTCACTCCCTTGCCCATTTGCCTACAACCCACAGTACACCTGAGGGAGTTAACAGACATCCTCTCTGACTTTGCACTGTGTGGGACTTTTCTGCCTTGTAACATTCCAGTACAAAAATGTCTGCTGTAAGAATAGGTGACGGTGATCAAACGTGTCTGTCTGCATCTAAGCTGTAGAGTCGTCACAAGCAAGCTCAGGAAGAAGTGCAGACAAGGCGAGGTGGCTTCTAAGTAACCTCCTGACAGGACTGTTTCATGGGCTTTTTCACAAGTTGGGGGTTCCCTCTTGTCTCTCTCATCATAACCCTGAGTGTTTAGCCCTGGGTACTTCCCAGTGGTGAGTGAAATGACATCTGCTGATGGAACCCAAAACCACACACACTCAGGTCTGATTTAGAGTCTCTTGTGTTTGTTTATTTAATTTTGCATCTTGTAAAATAATGTGTTTCATTGTGACAGTGTCATACATGTGTAAAATGTACTTCAGTCATATTTACCACCCATCACCTTCTCTTGTCTCCCATTCCCTCCGGCTGGTCCATCCCTCAAATTGTCCCTGAGGAGTGGAAATGGGAGTTGATGTCACAAAGGAAGAGTTTTATTTTTAACTTTTAAGCCATGTACAATAGCTTTCTGTGTACATGCAGGTCTTTGATGAAATGGAAAGTATCCAGGCTGAGCACATAACCAGGGGAGTCACCAACCGGCACAGGAGCAGTGGGAACAATGAGTGCTGTGAGCTTGGGTGGTGAGTCACACGGACTCACAGAGCAAGTCCTCAGTTAGGGATTTAGGAAGCAGGGCGGGAAGGTGGGATGGAGATACCTGAGCTGAGCCTTGAAAGGGAGGAAAGCTGCTCTGGTGAAGAGCCAGGGACCATTAGGTGCACTGAGTGCAGACACCTGTTTGGGGCATGCAGGGAGCGAGTCTGTGGGGCCGGGTGGTGGAAGCCAGGAGAGGTCGTGGGATGTGCTGGAGGACACTGCAAGCACAGGTCCTGTTGGGTCTTGAGGGATGCGCTGGGAGTTTGGTTTCATCCTAAAGGTAGTTATATGGGATTAGGTCAAAGGCAGGCAGAAAGGGAACAAAAAAAGCAAAAGAGCCCGGAGGACAGGCACAGCACCATATCTGGGTGTGTTTTGCCAAACATCCAGCTTCCCAAACAACACTAGAGTCATGGTGGCTGTGGTTGAAACTCCTTCTCAGTACACTGGCTAACAGCCCACAGAGGGGCACTGTCCGCCTTAAAGGCTGATCAGAGACCGCATGTAAGTTCACTATTGTGGTTTCATCCACACAATTCCTCCCAAATAGCCATCTTGGTTCTGGAAGTACCTTACTCGAAAACCCTCTACCAGTTCCCCAGTTTCTTGGAAAAGCCCTCCTATTTCTTGGAAAATGTCACATTATATACATAAAATCGCCATATTTAAATCTCCTATAGCCCAGAAAAATGTCTAGGGCCCAAATGCTCAGAGAAATTGGCTACATGGTGGGGTTTCCCACTGTCAGTCTCCTTAAAGGATGGACTTTCACTTTTGCTTCCATAACTCTTGCTCTCTTAAAACTCCTCTGTGCATTTGCCCCTGAATTCTTTTTCAATGAGATCAAGAGCCTGCTATTTGTCTCCAGTCACATCTCTTGTGACCACAAAAGAACATGCTTGAGGAATTTTCACACCCACTCAAGGTGACTGCCCAC